GTTGTAGGCCTTCCAACCCTGGATTTCCAAAAAAATCCCCCATTCCAAACCGACACACCCTCCACCTTTAGCCTTTTTCACAAAAGCCACAATACTTTGGGTCTGAAGATTTATGGCACTTTGGGCCATAAAACCTGCCTTACCAGTTCCAACCTTGAGAGCTTATTTTTCACCTGCAAGACCCACTTCACTCCATCTTTTATCCTTGCAAGGCAGGCGACAATGCATTCCCTGGTAGCACCCAACAGATTAAATTAAATGCAACACACACACACACACACACAAGCAATAGTTTTAAAAGTTTCAAAACACTTTTAGGCTGCCATCTGCTTTGCAGAAATAATTTGACACTGCTTTAACTGCCATGGTTAAATGCGACAGAATCTGGGATTTGTAGTTTGTCGTGGAGGCAGAGCTCTCTGACAAAGAAGGCTTAAATATCTCACAAAAGTACAAAACCCAGATTCCGTGGGGTCAAACTGCATTATTTCTGCAGTGCAGATGCAGCTTTATTCATGCTTCTCTATCAAAACTTATTAGGAAGTTTTCCTATTTAAAAGAGTATGAAAGCATTTGTAATAATAATGAGAATAAAAGCACAGCGGCACCCTATTGAATAACCCTTCCGAAGGAACCAGGGACCCATCAAAAGCCTGTCTAAATAAAAATGTCTTTTCTTGCTAGTGGAACAGAGAGAAAGCCAGCCCAGCATCCTGTGGGAAGGAGTTCCACAGTCTGGGATCATCTGGGACCTAACAAGGCTGATCCTGCATAGATCCCAAGATCAAGTGGGATCTGGTGACTCTGTGCCCCATATGTGCACATGCCTTCTCAAGTTGCCTGTCGGCCTATGGCGACCCCATGAATTTCAAGGGGTCTTCTTAGGCAAGGAATCCTCAGAGGTGGTTTTGCCAGTACCTTCCTCCGAAATGTAGCCTGCAGCACTTGGTCTTCGTTGCGGGTCTCCCATTCGAGTACTAACCAAGCCTGACCCTGCTTAGCTTCTAAGATCAGACGAGATCTGGTGCGCCTTTAGGTATTTAGGCTTCAAACCCCTGCATGGCCATGGAAAGCCATTGGGTGACCTTGGGCAAGTCACATTGTCTCAGCCTTAGAGGAAAGCCACGGCAAATCTCTTCTGAAGAAATCTGACCTACAATAGGGTCGCCATACGTTTGGGTGCTGGACTAAGACTCTGGGGGACCAGGGTTTGAATCCCAGCTTATCCATGGAAGCCCGCTGAGTGTCCTTGGGCAAGTCACACACTCTCAGCCTCAGAGGAAGGTAAAGACAAACCTCCTTGGAAGAAATCTTTCCAAGCAAAACCTAGGACACTGTTGCCCTAAGGCTGAAAGCCAGTATGGTGCAGTGGTTTGAGTGCTGAACTAGAACTCCAGGAGACCAAGGCTCCAATCCCTGCTTAGCCCTGGAAACCCACTGGGTGACCTTGGCCAAGTCACACTCTCTCAGCCTCAGAGGAAGACAAGGGCAAACCTCCTTGGAAGAAATCTTGCCAAGCAAAACTTCTCGGAGAGGGTCACCGAGAAAACACTTGGCTTTTAGTCCATGTCTCACCTCTGAATACAGCTTTATCCAAACTTCCATTATATCAAGCTTTTAAAAATTCTCCTTCTCTCGCCCCCTTTTAGAGCTCTTTTGTTCCTCTGAAAAGAGGGACAAATACCATGCTCAACACTTTTTAAAACTGACACGTTCCTAATACTGGTTTAAAGTGTTTTTAAAGTGCATTTATCTTTTTAAACTTTATTTTATTCTTTTAACAAGTGGTCTGTTTTAATATTGTAATAATTTAGTCCTAACTTAATGCTCTCTTTTGTATGGTTTTAATTGTACAGTGGATGCCAGGACTCTCCATGGATACCAAAGTCCCATGATATACAAAGGGCATTATTATTATTATTATTATTATTATTATTACTACTACTACAATGGCTCCTTGGTATCTGCTGAGGTTTGGTTCCAGGGTCCTCTGTGGATACCAAAATCCATGGATGTTCAAGTCCCATCATATAGAATGGCATAATAAAATGGCGTCCCATATATAAAATGGCAAAATCAAGTTTTGCTTTTTGGAATTTATATACTTTTTTGAATATTTTCAAGGTGTTTGAATCCATGGATAAAGAATTAATGGATATGGAAGGTTGACTGTACTGTTCTTTTAAATTGTAAGCTGCGCTGAATTCTAATTTTGGGAAAAAAGCATAATAATAATAATACTTGACATAGGGTTGGAAAAGTAATTTGATGCTGCTGTTCCTTGCAGCTTTTGACAAGTAACTCGCAGACACTGCTCAACATGGCAAGAAATATTAATGTAATTCGTATTTTTCTTGTGTTGTCCTCACCGTGGATGACACAAAGCTCGGAAAGTTACTTTTAATAAGTGAGGTGTTCCTGCTACTTGTCACAGCCCTGAAAAAGTAACTTGTTGCCGTTGGCTGTTACATGGTAACTAGAATATGCTACTCATCACAGCAATAAATTCTAATACAGTTCAAATTTGTTTAGTCCATTGCTTTCGAAATGTTATTTCACTACACCCTTCTAGCAAAACAAAACAAGGAAATTAAAATTACTATGTTACTTGTAACTTCCAAGCCCTGGGTTGTGATTCCCCGTCTCTAGCTGATGCTGGACTGTAACTCCCAGCATCCTTGGTCACCAGCTCTAATAGTGATAAATGTTCTTGTTGTTGCTGTTGTTGTGTGCCTTTTGTTTCCAACTCATGGCAATCCTAAGGCAGACCCATCATGGGGTTTTCTTGGCAAGATTTGTTTGGAGGGGATTCACCCTTGCCTTCCTCTGAGGCTGAGAGAGTGTGACTTGCTTGACATTACCCAGTGGGTTTTGATGGCTGAGAAAGGATTCAAACCCTGGTCTCCAGAGTTGTAGTCCAACGCTCAACCCACTAAACCACCCTGGCTGTAGTGAGAAATCCTGGAATATAGTCCAAAAACATCTATAATACAAAACCACTGTTCTCCATATATTTGGATGATGATGATGATGATGATACACTGCAGAGTCTCCTTCTTTGGAGGTTTTTAAACAGAGGCCAGATGGTCCTCTTTTGGGAGTGCTTTGATGGTGTCTTCCTGTATGGCAGAAAGGGGCTGGATTGGATGGCCTTTGGAGGTCTCTTCCAATTTTAAGATTCTATGTCTATGTCTAGTACAAATAGTAAAGGTAGAGCTCCACGAATGCTATAACCTGATTTGTCATGTTGGATAGGAACTTTAGGATTCCTCTCCAAAAAGTGACCACTTTGGGACAGAGCAACCACCTATGGAGGAAGGCTCCACTTTCCCCATGTTGGGTGGCCTTAATTCTAGAGAGGCTGGTTGGAGTGAACATTTTAAATCCCAATTCTGAAATGCAGAGACTTGAAGGATAGAATCTGCGCTGTAGAAAGAGAATGCAGTTTTGACGCCACTTTTAAGTGCTGTAGCTCCATCCTAGGGAATCCTGGGATTTGTACTTGGACAAGGCCTTTAGACTTCTCAGCCAAAGATTGCTGGTGCCTCACCAAACCACACATCCCAGGATTCCATAGGACAGGGCCATGGCACTTCAAACTGCTTTAATTGTGTAGTGTAGATGCACCAGTGTGTGTCTTCAAGTCAGTTCCTTAAGGTGATGCTTTCGCAGGGTTTTCTGGGGCTCACCCAAGGCCACCCAGTGGGTTTCCATGGCCAAATGGTGATTCGAACCTAGAATCAGAGTTGGAAGAGACCACAAGGGCCATCCGGTCCAACCCCCTGCCATGCAGGAACTCAAAATCAAAGCATCCCCAAACGTGATCTCCAGAGTCTTAGTCCAATGTTTAAACCACTACTCCATGCTGGATATGCATATTTTATTCCACTTCCCATCTTCAAATCATGAAGTAAAGGGGATACAAGGCTCTCATACCCCAGTATCGAACATTTAGACATCCTGATTCAATTCTATCTGATGCATATCTCTTATTTGCTGTACACTAACTCCCCGCCTCATCTCATATATCTATCCCCCAGAAATCTCTTAGCCCCTTTTGTCCCGTCGGTTGTTTGACGAGAAGGATGCCTTATCCCAAATAGGTTTGATTTTAGCCCTTAGCTAAGTATTTCGACTGCTTTGGTAGAGGGTCAACAGACAAGACCTGGGCTCTGTAGTTCTTTGCTGTGGGTCTAATTCCCCCTGGGATGGAGGAATTGGCTTTTAGGTGAACCTGCTAATGCCATTTAGTCACTGCTGCCCACACTCCTGCCTCTTTCCCCTTTTGCAGCTTCTGTTTTTGGCTTTGCAGGCTCAGGTTCAACAAAGGGCTGGGAATTGTGTTGCCCTCCAGATGGGATTGGACTGAACTACAATTCCCAGTACCCTGCACCCTTGCCTGCTGGAAAGTTGTAGTCCAGCATCTTCCAAAAGGGCTGCATGGTTCCTACTCCTTTTAAAGTATGTACTTTCTCCTTTAAAGAAAGTATGGTCTGTGCTGTCGCAGCTGAGTCCGCAACGCATTTGCTTGGCATAGAAAAGTCCCAAATTTAATCTCCACCTCCCTCCAACAAAACCCATCATCCACAGGCAGTGTGTCCACCTGGCTATTTAACTTGGCTGCAGTCTTAGCTTGCTTGCATAGTTGTTTGGTGTTACTGGCCTTCAAGTCAACGCTGCCATCAGTGTATGGTGACTTTCTCCTGGGGTTTTCTTGACAAGACGTATTCAGAGGATGTTGATCATTGCCTTCCTCTGGGGCTGAGAGAGTGTCACTTGCCCAAGGTCACTGAGTGGCTTGGTGTGACTTGCTTTGAGTCCCAGTCTGGGAAAAAGGAGCAAGAGAAATAAATATCAACCTGGCCATTTTGCCTGCTGCCCCAAACCTTGCTGGCACTGCTCTTAACTGGCCAGATTTCTGGGGTTCTGGGAATTGTGTTGTTTATTTGTTAATTGTTGTTCTTACTGGCCTTGATCCATGGGGACAGCTGGGTAAGAAGTTGTGGTTGTCATCATCATCATCATCATCATCATCATCATCTTCTTCTTCTTCTTCTTCATTATGGGATGGGTTTAGGGAAGAACAGATCCCTTTGAACTTTCTGAAGTTCTTCCTAATGTTGAGGTGGAATCTCTTTTCCTGTAGCTTGCATCCATTGCTCCTAGTCCTACTATTCTCTGGAGCAGCAAAAAAACATGCTTGCTCCATCCTCAATGTGGCATCCCATCAAATATTTAAATATGGCCATCAGGCCCCCTCTTAACCTTCTTTTCTTCATGCTAAACATACCCAGCTCCCTAAGCCCCTCCTCAGAGGGTTTGGTGGTTTCCAGATCTTCCACATTTTGGTTGCCTTCCTTTGGACAACGCTCCATCTTGTCCACATCCTTTTTGAACTGCCTAGAACTGGACCCAGTATTCCAGGTGAGGCCTGACCAAAGCAGAATAGGGTGTCACTATTACACCCCTTGATTGATGCACTACACTCCTACTGATGTAGCCTAAGATCGTATCGGCTTTTTTAGCTGCTGCATCACATTATTGACTCATGTTCAGCTTGTGGTCTACTGCGCGAGTTCAAACAGCAAACTACAGCATGAAAACCTAATTTCACTTTTATTAACTGCAACAAGGCTTGAAATTGAAAGCCAAGTATTGGAGGACTTTAGAAGGACTTTCCTTGTAAGGTTGGACTGAAGAACATGGACAGCCGCACTCATGGAAAAACCCTCCTTACCAGCTCCAAGTCCCCAAAAGATTAATCCAGGCAGACAAAGCTTCAGATGAATGGCATATGTCCTGTCTCATGTTCCCACCAACCATTCCAATGAAGGTTATGGGAATGGTGCAAAGAAGTCAAAAA